ATAAAAAAAATACAAAATGAATATAGCAAAATGAAGCTTGCATCTTGTGGGATCTACTAATTTTATACTTATAAATATGTATAAGTATACAATGTGTTATATAATTGGTTCAACTATAACAAATCTATAATTATTTTACACAATCTTCGGAGATGCCATGGTCTTAAAAATATCATTTGAAGCTGTTGGTTCCGACTTGTGTACCTTAATCGGCTAGTATTGACCGCATAATTAAAAGAAGCCACAGACACTCAACATTTACATAACCCGAAAAAAGAGTTCTCTTTCGGCTGTTATAGAAATCCAAGGAAGAGTTGAAGAACCGCGATAGAACTTAAAAGTTTAAAAAAAAAACAGACAAAAAATGGAAGGTGACATTAATATTATTATAAACGTAAAATAAAACCAGTTTTATCTTATCTTATATCTTACAAGATCTTACGAAATCTTACAAGGATTCCGAAATTTACAAGTATGTATGTTGTATTAAAGAAATGTTGAGATCCCTGATAGAAGTTCTTAATGACGATTAAACTACTATTAAGAATTTGATTAATAAATAAAAGAGGATATGTTTTAGCCATTTTGGATATTGTATTATATGATACATATACATACATGATATATATTCACCGAAACACACATATTATTAAAACCTAAGCCATAATAAAATGAAATCAAATTGTTTTTCACTAGCCTAAAGTCTGTAGGACGTATTGCTTTATCATTTTTTTGTTTGGTTTTTTAAATTAGGTTTTTAAAGTTCATCATTCAGGGAGTGTCAGTTTTCGCTTCCATGCTTTTTTAATTCTATCAACGAAAGCTGATCAATAGCGGATATAAAGAGATAATTACGTGTCAACATAATAATGTAACAATTTGATAAACTGCTATCTGTGGATATACTGAGATGATAATTATCATTGTTCCACTTAAGAATTTATTTATTTTTTCATGAGGGCATGCAACCTTTATATATAAAAATCCTTGCATAATAAAATTAGTAAAATAAATGATAATTTATTACTGTGTTATATAATACGCATTCACTTACACAACATAAGTGATTACAATGTTGCCATTAACAAACAACAACAAAAAAACAAAACAATTATTTTAATATTTATAAACCTAATTTAATCCTTGTATCCTTGTGTCTTGCATGTCCGTTCCATTTACCGCGAAAACTTAACCCATTCCTTTCCAAATTTTTAATGAAGAACCTTATTCAACATCATAGTATTTGTTTTTTTCTTTTAGCACAAATCCTATTCCATATGTATAATTCTCCAAGTTCAAACGGAAGTGATCTGGTTACCTTCCTCTTGAGGATGGATAAAAATTTCGTTATGAAATAATTAAAATCATGATTTTAATCTCAATTTACTGGAAATTCTACGGATTATTCAATTTCTAAGATTAAAAATCTTAATTTAGGATTATTTGAAACACGAAATTATGACATCAAATTGTTTCCAGCTTGCTTTATGCCTTAAGAATTTTTTACTTTCTATTTTCAGAAGCTCAAATTTATATCTTTCACGCTAAAATAGTGTTAATATTTTGTTTTCACAATGTTGATGAGACATTGTTCCACCCGAAATTGGTACTTACCAATCTTAGATTTAAACTTTTACGTGTAATGAAATAAAGATACGTAGTTATTATCTTTTTCATAATCCACCACCTAAGTGTTCTGATTGAAATATCGATCTGATTTCGTTATGATATTTATTAAGTATGTCACTAGTCAAGGACAACAGCTTCTAGCATTATATCAAACCAGTCGAGATTCTCGAAGTGTAGTGTCCGTCGTTTACCGTTATCCATGGCTTATACTATTTACCTATGATGAATTTCAAAGGAAATAGGAGATTCATTGAAATATGCGGATTTAAAAAAAAAAAAAAAAATTGTGTTGACTGGTTTCATCCCAGGGCACGCAAAAATTTTATACTCAGTCAATTATGTTTTCCTTTAGTTTTGAAAGATTGATACTGAATGGGTCAATAAAACCTCATATATGCCTCGGGTGTGAATTTTTAGATTAAAGTACGAACCCTCAGCAAAAGATTCCCTGGTTATTACAGTTGTTCATGGAGTAGTGATGATTCTGATTACGTAAAAGTAATGATTCGAAACAACTTGTTCTGTTATGGAAATGCGAAATTTTCATCTTAATAAAAATAAAACTTTGAAAAAACTTAAGTTTTCCAGATATATTGTTGAAATCCTAAAGGAGTCATAGTAATAAAACAAGTACCGAGTGTCAACTATTTTATTTGAATTTAATGACTATTCAATCACTTTATGATTGACGATGGAATGAAATGAAGTGATTAAAGTCCAAGATACTCAGACTTGGCCATTATTTATGTAAATTACTCGGTACTCGTTAATAAGAAGGAGGGGACAAGGATGGAGAATCAGTCACCAAGTAATGCAAAATCAAACATTGAATTTAAAAAAAAAATAATAACGCAAGAATTTAATTTACACCTGTCCATTCATTCTGATTTGGCTACAGTAGGCATAAACCTTTATGAGAAGTAGACTAAAAAGGCTTTGGATGAGAGACCTCTTTCCTCAAACAACCAAAGTGATTGAATTAAGTCAGGGAATAGATGCTATTGGCTACTATCCCTCACTTTGACGACATTCCTGTATAGTCAGATCATTTTCTGATTGCCAACGTACTAAATATGACAGGTACAAATAAATGTAAGACAAAAAAAAAAAAATATTAATGATAGTTTTATGAATATTGAATAGATAAAAAAAAAAATAAAAATAAAAAGGAAGCTGAATGATGGTTTTAATTTTTTTAATCAATTTTCTGGCGATAGTAATTTATATAGCAGTGACATTTCTATCGTTACAGACTTAACTAAACAAGAAGCGGGTACGGAGATAACGATGCTTTGACCAACCGGCCATGGGGAGCAAGACTTTGTGGAGCAGCCAGCTGCACAAACCCGCACTAATCAGTATCCAATTAAAAGCGAAATGTGGAGGCACTCCTAGGTCACTACTGTCTTACAGAGATTTCCATTCCAGTGTCGTAATTAATTGTATTAAAAAAAAGAAGTTGTATGTATAAATATTAATGCAAATTATGTAAGATCCTTTGGATTGCTACGTCATGTTTCATTCCAATCTATAACTCTAAACAAGATTATCCTATCCTAGCGATGTTTTTAAACATGTAAATTATTCCCGTTATCGAGTCATTTCACTGATTCATCTTATCCTGTCCCGATAGGAATTTGCCATATGTTACTTAATCACATAATACCAACGAAATCTTGTTTATCAATTACATGATAATTGGGTGTCAGCTTATAAAAACCTATCCTCAACCTTAACGTAACACCGCAACTATTTCTACTTCAATAGATAATTTAATAACAAAAAACAAAAAAGTATAAAACATCCAACAGTAGCCGATATGACGACAACCATGTATGAAATAATCGTCCACTTGAACCTATATTGATATTGACATTGACTGATAAAATGACGGTGTGGATCGTGCTGAGTGGCATGATTGGCACAAGTAGGAATGTTAACAGATGTTCTCACTGCTTCATTACGTTGAGTTTTGATATACCTTGTTGTCGAGTGGTCCTCAACAAATAAATTATCATTTTCTTATCAAACCATGAAATTCTCCATGTTCGTATATCAAAAGTATGGTTCAAAAACAAGAAGTACAACAATTTTTTTCATTATTTCCTCTTCCTTCCTTATCTTTTCGACAATACGGTATTCCGTTTTTATAAAAAAATAAGTTTGTCTTGTTATCTTGAAGTCACTCCAGGTTGAGACTGTGGAAGTCTTCGCCTTACTCCAATATTGAAATGGGCTGCGCCTATTTGTTCCTTCCACCCGTACACGAATGCCTCGTAGTATGGATAGTTATCTGCAGCGACGAGAAGAGGCAACTCTCCTTCGTTGATATTTTAGATATTTTTGCTCCTTATTAGCTTGGCCCTCAGTGCCTCAACGAAGTGCAGCTGGTGATCACATGCTCGGCAGCTTCCAGGATACCACAACTGGAGCATAGGGATTCGACGTATTTTCCAAGACTGTGTAGTTTGGCGCGAAAACCCCCATGTCCAGTGAGGAATCGAGAGACCCAATAGTCTGGTTTTATCCATCTGGCTGTTAGTCGAGACTGTAAACTGGGAAAATACTTCCTTAGGTTAGCCCCCTTGAAGAAGTACAACACTGCAATTACTTATTTAGAGTAGGTATATCCCCGGAATGTTATAGCAAATTTTGCGATATAATGATCTTACCGGACTATATCTTACCGGACTATATGTTACGGTCAATAAGTAATCAAACAATTTGGACTAAACTCTTGGTATTAATGTCAAATTAAAAAGTCTTCATTATCAGCTAGCTCAATAATCCTCAAAAGTATCTCTAATTTTGATTATTAGAATAATTAAAGGACCCTCATTGGCAGCAATAACGCTAAATGGATAAATATGATGAACTGCGAGATAATTCGATAATTAGCTATAGGGAAAAATGGGAGAAATATTTTCGCAGGTTGAAAAAGGATTTCTGGAAATGAGAGCATTAATTAGAGGTGCCCATCGCCTCCTCCCTATAACGATGGCGCAATCCCTCTTCCCAAGAAAATGTATCGTTCTACTCTTCTTAAAAATGGCCCAAACAAAATTATTATAATCAAAATTGTAGTTTACTTTGTTCCCTTGATTCCTGATCTGAATGTTCTGCATGCCTGATAAAGTATTCGTCTGTCTGTTGATCAGTGGATATATTATGCGTCTTTTAGGCCGTCTATTACGCCGCAAGTATTGATTAACATAAAAATTTAAAAACAATTAAATACTGGATTTAAGTCCTATGTTTTAATTAATTATATTCATAAAGACATATATGAAAAAAACTAAATCATAGGTGTTGCAAATATTTACACGTTACATAATCGTTAACGTTGCTCCATTACATTGATAGTTGCTCACCTTCTATGCACTGATCGTAGCCTTTGGTGAAGAAGAGCATGGCCTTCGCCGCACGCTCCGGTGTCTTCAGCAGTCCCTGCCTGTCTGGGTCCTCGCCCAAGGAGGTGAGGAGGAGCCTGTAGGACGAAGACATGTCTGGAAGGAGGGCCTCCCTGGTCGGCGGTCGGTGGTCCAGCTCCAGGTCGTGGTGGAACATGCATTTTTCATGACCTGAAACACCATCAGTCACAGTCAGCGACTATCATTCATAAAACCGATTCATGTGAAATATATACCCGCGTCGAATTGAAATTTGCTCAAAACAGACGAGAAGTATGTAAAAACGAATAGTTTCTTTTGTAAAGAACATATGATTAAAGAAGAGAAGAGAAGAAGAGAGAAAATATATTGCAAACAAATGATGAAACATAGAAACAGTGTTATATATCTGCAGTGTATGAAAAGTTGCTGAATGAAGCTTTGTGCATAAAACATACAAAATGTCATTTTAACACTACTGACTGTTATAATATGATGGAAATATTTAATAAATAAATAAAAATTTACTAATATTATTTTTTTTTTAGAGCGAATATAAAATTAAGCTGCAAAGAAATTTTTTTCTAAATAATTTATAATTCTGTCTAACAAGAAAACAGAAAATAATTGCGAATAATCGTTTTTAATTCTAATATTTATGCATTGTCTAAAACTGTATTGTTATTTTAAGAAATTTCAATATTAATCCGACACCACTAGCTGTTTTAATATAGCACAGATATTTTTCACTGAAGAACAACATTTTTGGCATCCAAATCAAGATAAAAAAAATTACATTGCTGCACATCGGCACGGTAGTTTTTTATTGCTTCTTAAATATTGAAAGAACAAAACTTTTAGTTGTTGCGTTTTCATTAGGAATTAGTTTCGTACATTTTAAACCCATTCATTTTTACTCTTGGAAACATCATTTCGAACTTTTTTTTTTGTAGTTCCGTAATGTGTTAAACAATATATTATTGCTTATTTTTCTCATAACTTCCTTATTTTAGCTTAATTAATTATTCTTCAATATATAAGCGAAATCATTCGGTAAAAAAGAACAATTTGTCTGAAATTGGGAATACGTTAGAGGAAAATGATTGAGTTTAATCATTCTAAAACTTAGTTAATAATAAACAAAATTACTTTATATAATATGCGTTCTTCAAATATAAATATATATATATAAAATATATATTTCATTGGAAATAATTTATTTAATATAATAATTTAATCTAATAAAGTAATAATTTATTTAGATCAATTATATGATATAGTGGAGCGGGCTAGCTCAGTGTGTGAGCACTGACTTCCAGAGCTCAAGGTCCTGGTTTCGAATCCGGCTAATGACTAATCATTTTTCAATAGCCGTGGATTAACGCTGGGGCCGACAGATCCTCCTGGGGCACACCCAGCCTCTATAAAATGGGTATCCTTGTTAAAAAAATAATTAAGGGGGAAAACCTGGCGGTTGAGCGTGATATCGGCTCCATCACCTCCCTGCACAACCGTTGGCCTTGAAACAATACTCCCTCACTATGTACTGCACCCAAGACCCTTCATGGGTTTTAGTTGTACAGGTGTTTTTTTTTTTTTTTTTTTTTTTTATATGAAATAATCATTTAATATATTATATGATATATAGGAATGTTATATGAACAAAAAAAAATTATTTTGAATCTATAATTCTATTTTTCTACTTTTTCTCTGCTAGATCCCTATAGATTTTACACCTCCTTTTTAAGAGCTGCCTGGTGCGTGTGCCCCATTTCTCCTTCTACTCTACGCCTCTGATTTTAAAACTCTAATATGTATATGTGGATAATTATAGATATTAATATATACAATGGTAAAATGTATGTTGAACCGTACCAATATTCAATTCACATTAGCAATAGGCAATTTGAGCATATCTAAAGTCGAAACACATCGTGAAGTTCATAACAAGGACAAGCAAAAAGATGTGCAAAATTTATCAAAAAGGCGTTCAGTGAATTCATAGTTATAAAAATGATATTGGTTAATAGTAGTTATGAAAAATTTATTAGACCTTAGGAACGCAAATATTTTATTTTTATCGGTTAAATAAATATTGGACTGACAAATTCGTTAAGTCGGAGGAAGAAATCTATAACATATGTAAGAAGTAAATAAATCAATATAAATTTAACCGAGTCTTATAAATAATTATATGGATTATTAGTAATGAATATTATTGTATGGAATAAAAAAAAAATCAAAAAAATCACGCTAGAAGAACTAAAAAAATTAACTCAAAATTATAATGAGTAAATTTAACTTCCGATGACAAAAAAGAACAGAAACCGTCATACAGAAATTTCATTCCTATGAGTTTATTCTACTTCTCTCGGTGATTTTCTTGAAAAGCCCTCCTGCTGTTGAGCTTAATGAGAGACGGATCAACAGGTGAGTTCCTAGAGGTGTAAAGTCCACGTCTTGTATTTTCAGCTCCTAAACTCGGCCTTAATTCTGCTATCTCACGTCCCGAGGCTTTTCCAGCCTAATGGTCTGCAGATGAGACTCTTGTTTCCTTTTCTATTGTTACAATTGGTATTAATGCGATAATTTGTCAGTTAAGATAATTTAATACGATATGGGTCAGTAAAATTTTTTCTTTATTCTTTGCAATACTATAAAATATTATTTTAATATTAGATTTAAGTAATGTTTGTTTTTGAGACTTGCTGTAGTCGAACTGATATTATTCTTTGTTCTAAATTTTTTTAAAGTGTGTTTTCTAATTCCTCTTTAATAAGTTTCAATGTTAAGTTAAGAATAAGTTTTTGGTATCCTCATCAAGATAAAAAATATTATAGGATTGTATATCGGTAGTTTTTTTGTTGGATTTTAAATATTGAAACAATACAATTTTGAATTGTTACTCTTTTAGTAGGAATTAGTTTCGTGTGTTTTAAAACCCATTCCTTTGATAATGTTTGGACGTCATTTCAAGCGATCTTTATTTATTGTAGCGTAAGATTTAAGCAATACTACCTTGGTTATTCTTCTCAGTACTAGGATCTCATTTAGATTTAGATTTAGATCTAAATTTAGATTTAAAATTCGAAATTGACTTCAAACTGTCATCGTATTATGGTGATTCAATCTTGACTGGTATTATTTGTTTTATCAATTTAAATACCAAAGTTTAGGATGTTTTTGAAAATTGTTAAAAAAATAAATGTAGTTGATTGAATGTACTTGATATATAAAGTATTATTCTTTAAAGAAAAATATGGTGAAGTTTCTCAACATGGAATCAAACTGTCATGCTTATTTATAGATTGAATGGAAACGTATGAATAAAAGCATCAAAGATGAATGATTGTTATGGAATTTTCATGAGTTTTTATTTTATTAATTTTTAATCAATACCAAATTATATTTTTCGCTTTGAAATAGTTATATTGATAGATGGGACGATTTTGAATTATCATTAGTAACAGAATACAGAGTTTAATAAAAAAAGTTGTTGTTTTTCATAGCAAACAAGCAACACTAACATGCGTGGTATTTTCGCGTCATACCAGCGATGACTAACACCATCCTCCGGATTAGGAGAGTAGGCCAGACTATTGCGAATGCTGATAGAAACAATGCAAGTAGCAACACAAAGAAAGATTTGGAGGAGATACCCCTTACCGACAATGGTTTGAAGTAACTCGGCATCTAAGGCAGATAATGGAAGGGTTTGCTAACAGCAATCATGCCATTAATTAAATGCTCCAAACTTGTATCGTTGACATTGAGACTCTTTGACATCATTAATGATATATATAATTTTCTGACAGTTGGTAACTGGCAGTTAATTTATAAAGTATTATTTTTAAAGAAAAATATGATACAGTTTGTCAACAGGCATGAGATTATTTTTAGGATTATTATTCTCCTTTCATTTGTCTAGATCGTCAGTTTGATCAGTTTATAATTCGCTGTTAGTTAACAAAAAACAAAAAAATCGGAGGGTATAAAAAATATTGTAAAAGCGACTTTTAAAAGGTTTTCATAGCGAACTCCTCTTTTTTAATGTCAAACTTTTTGGATATTATATTCGCAATGATTAAATTGTTTACAAGTGAATAAAATAATCATTTGTTCAATGATATTTAATCGTATAATGAATTATCTGTATTATTATTGTTATTTTTATATATTACGTTATTCGTTACACGGAATAGTTTAATAATAACATAAATACACTGGCGGATTCATGGGTGGGGAGGGATACTTTTGGTCTAAAGCCTCCTGTTTTCCTGACATATTTATTTTTTTTGTAAGATTTTTAATTTTAATTTTGAGAACATTTTTCGTGATGAAATCAGATCCATGCAGTTCAAGATCTGTTTTAAAAACTGGTCCGAATTTCGTAACAATATTAAAAATTAAATTAATTCGCGTTGCGATTTCGGCAAGACGAAGGAGTGGTCGATTGAAGGACCGTATTTTGTCATGATTAATGGAGCGGGTACGAGGTTACAACTTCCTATTAGGATAATTTACTTTCATAATTAGCTGAAAAGTATCATTCTTACGCCGAATGCAGGAGAATTAAACGGGCTGGCGGGCGTCCCTGGCCTCTTTGAAACTTTCCATCTAATGCAATTATGTTCTTCTAATGATCGAGGTCATCGGAAAATCGAGGTCGATATGAGGAAAATTGAAATAGATATAAGGAAAATCGTATTATCTGTTGATTACTTGCAATTTATTGATATTGAATATAAGACCACTGCTACACAGTTGTGCGTTCACGTCTTTATCACCGGTTATCTTACCTCATGGATCTCATAGAATAACCCAAAAAAAGGTTTAATATTTAATACGCTCTTAAGATTTAATACTTGTTTTCAATACTTATTTTATTATTATTTTTAAAATAAAAATGCTAAGATTGAATTGAATATTGGAATTCTGCTCAATTTCGATCTCTCAAAAACCACTTATTTAATAAAAAAATTATATTGCAAATAAAAGTAATTAATTTTGTTAAAAATGTAAGAAAGCGGATGCATTTAGATTTTTTTTTATGCAGTAAAGCTTAATCTCTTTTGTCTTAAACCAGAGCAAGAGAAACCCTTTCAAACACAAATAACCCATTCGATCAAAGCAATCATAACATGCCGGGACACAAAACAATCATTTTACAGATCTTTGCTGTTCTATTGAAAAGCATTCACATCTTAAATATATTGCAGCGATTTTTTCTGAAACTTTTGATATCGAATTAAAAACGGATCAATAAATCAAATCCGCTCTTGCCATCTGATGAAACCTGACAATCCAAGCGGACGCAGCAAGGCTATTGGAAATCAATCAGTCCAGACAATGATTTAAATAATATATATGTATCGTATATAAATATCGTAGAATCAAGTTATATAAATGAAAGTTAATTTAAATTTTATATATAATTACAATGTTTTGAAAGAAATATCTGTTATCTGTATAATTTTTTTTTTTTTTTTTGAAGAATTATATAAATCACTAGCTTTAATTCTGTTTACGAAATGTTGCAAAATATTTTAATTAAATGATTCCGATTTTCTGAAAGTTTTTCTTTATTTTATTCCATGTGATAGTTCCAAATTTCGTTCGAGTGAAACAGAAAAAAGTAAGACAAGCTTAACATCTATATTATAGTGTTCTTTACAAAGATGTGTTGTTAGTTACTGATGTATATAATGACACAGACACATGTATTATTGTTAGTCACAAAAATGGAGATTAGTAACATTCTCTTGTATACATTTTTAAAATCATACTATGACCATATTCAACACTTCAGGGTAGCATTATCTCATTCCTACTCACCAAATTCTCGAGAAGTGCTTAAATAAGATTAATTTGCGTGCGATCCAACTTACCCAAGTACCTGGGCTTATGACCAACTATTGGACTCATTCCACTCAAAGCCTGATCTTCAACTGACAGAACTCCTTCACCGACCCGAATCATGGTGGTACCAAAGAAGAAGAAGGGGTTGGACCTTCCCCTTCTGCACAGGTCTGCAGAGTCACGATGGTTCTTTATTTAGTAATCAACAAGGCTGCAATAGTGGGCTCCAAATTATGGGCACTTCATTTAAGGATATGCAGTAATGTATAATTTTGAAAATGTTCCATCGGCAACTAATGGATAAAATCCAACGTTCAATGTTTTTAGGAAAGCATTGGAAAATATCTTGGGCTACTATAATCGAATTTAATGATGTTTGGGATATACATAAATTATATTCTTCATATATAGTTTATTCTATAATTTAAGTAACTGTTCATCACGTATTAACACTACAAGCATGGAACATCGAAGATATGATAAAGAGTGAACTTACCCTTACCCAAGTACATAGGCTTGTGACCAGCTATAGGACCCATTCTGTTCGATGTCTGGAGCTCTACTGACAGAACTCGAGTATCGGACCGACCAAAATAATTCTGCTTTCCGGAAGGCTGCCTCCCTCAAGGGGAAGCCTACGCTTACCACCCGGGGACCTTCCCAATCTGCACAAACCTGCCAACCTTCCTCCAAAAGAACAGGAATTAGAAATTACTTTGTCGGTTCCGGGTCCCTTATCTCAAAGTTGGCCTTGATAATGACCTGTCTAGCTAATGAACTCTTTTTTTTAGCTCAATTGAAATGGACAATATTTATATTCAACCGATTGTCCAATCAACTACCACTGAATTGACATTGAATCGCAAGATTAGTCTGATTTCTCGACATTTATTGTAAATATTTTATGAAATTGTATATTTTGTAAGAATACGTCTTTTCTCAAAAGCAATTCTTTTTTTCCCCCTGAGAATATCTGAACGTCCTATTAATTACTAATATTCAACTTCTTGAATATAAAAGCATATCCTGCAATACAACATGCGTTAATTTATTTGCTATGGTGATGATGGTTGAACATATAATAAGGGATGATAAGGGGGGTGATAAGGGATGTATAGTTCTGTGATTCATTTTAAACATCACAGTCCCGAGGAACTCGAGGTATGGACGTGTTCCAGAATTGAGGCATCTCATCTAACAGAAATATAACAAAATATCTTTATCTGAAGCTTGAGGCAACACTGAAAGGATTGTGAATATTCATATCATATCCATTCTCCACGCAAAAAGCACAATTTCCCCAGCAGACATTTACTCACTAGAAGAACGTACACAAACACTTTGAACCAATCAGAAAAATGGACATGCAGTGGAAGAAGCCCCTTGAGATGCATGATAATACTACCTTTGAGGTTAGTTAATTTTCCATTGAATTTGGTAACAGTTTTTCCATTGAACTTTTCATCGGAATTTCCATTTACTTTTTCACAAACGTTGCCATTTTTTAAGTGTCCATTTAAGTGTCCATTAATATTTCCATTCATTGTTTGTCCTAAAAAAACAAAAGAAATGTTTATTACTAATTAATTAAAATGTTTTTTTTCGTCCTTTTGGTAAGAGCTACCTCAATGGTCGACATTTGCGATTGAGTAAAATAAGTAAATTATTGTTTTTTTTTAGTGTTTCAAGAAAAATAAATAAAGAATCGATGTTTTGCCTCTATGGCTCTCTGTTTACCACCTGCTTATACCTACAATTATGAGACTTGAATATTTTTTTATGTTTTTTTTCTTGCAATTATCTGAATAGCTATGAAATAATTTAAACCTAAAAATAATAAAAATGCTTAATGAATTCGTTAGATATTCCTATATTTAATCAAAAAACATGATATTTTTTTATCTTGCATTATAACCTTATGCAGGAGGAGTTTATTTGTTAAGTGTACATAAACTATGTGAATTTGCAAAGTTTATGTATGAATGCTTTACTTAAATTTTATCTGTGCTATTGATTTTTTCTTTTGTGTAGTGTAACGAGATATAAGTTGTTATAATGAAGATGAAATCTCAAATTGCGGTATTTCTATTTATAGATGCTTAGCAAAGCAATAACTATATAGAGAAAAACATACACCATGAAAAAAAATAAATTGAAAATTGAGAGACATACAGTTGCAGATGTTAATATGTTTAGAGCAATACATCGAACTTAATGCCCGTTAAATTCACTATTAAATACATAACACATCCGATGCATTTAGGAAACAAATCAGTGTGACGCTGTAAAACTGGATTTTTAGCCTGTCTTACTTGACTAAAAAATACAAATTTCTATTACTCCACGCCAAGGTGAATAGAGTCCAGAAGAAAGATTTTTAAAGTCAAAAAATAATTATTTATTTCAGATGAAACTTTTTGGATGAAGTGCATAAGGTATTAGGTTTGGTAGAATATAATGAGGAATGCAGAAAAATATAGAAAATGCCTTTTACTGTGCAAAATGGAAAAATCTGGTGCACGCAACACACAACTTTCACTTACCGCTCAACTTTGAATAGAAATTATTTTCTGGCCATGTTGGACTATTATAAAATTTTTGACTGAGCTAAAGCTAATATATTACAGCTAACAAATCATAAATACTATTAAAATAACAAAAGTCCTATTTATTATATTATCGGTTAATTATGCATTGTACGATTCGTTGATTGTGGATTGTACGACTATTAGTTATTAAACTTTTTTCCATTGCAAAGTTTATTAAAACGGAATGAAGAGATTTGCATTGTCTGTCATAGACAGGTCAAAAGTTGTCACACTAATTGTAAGTGGATTCTGTTGGAATATCGCAAAGGGAAAATTTATCAAATTATTCACTAATTTAATTTTCTAAAAGGTTACATAATGATTTTTCGGAATAAATGGACGATAGATACCTAATTATTTAAATATAATGTCAGGTCTAGAGTTATTAAACTACAGTAAATATATTTAAGGTTATAAACGTACCCATGAAATATTTTTTATATTTCACTTCTTCTTTCACACAAGTACAATGAAAAAGTATCTTAAAAAATGTCATTGCCTTAAATCCGTTAGTTTTAAATACTTTTTCAAACTTAAAAAAAAATTTCAAAGTTTACATTTAGTAAGAAAATTTAATTTCCTTGAAAACATGTCATTATTTATATTTTTTTCGCCCCTTTTTTTCTTCGTAACCTTCTACAACTTTTTATATCAGATATTGTTTTTTCTAAAATTCTCCACTTTCCAACGATATATTAAATGTATCCTTTCTGTCCAGAATATCCGGAGATTCACTTTCGACCTGTATAAGTATTTTTATTTTTTTCTCCTTTATTTAATTATCAAATTCTTCCAAACGTTATATTTAGCATTTTTCCATAACTCATAACAATGATAAATTGATCTTAATCTAAATTTTTTCTTGCTTGTTAAAATTTTTCTTTTCACGACCGTTTGAAAATTGTTATCAAATTAACTATTGCTTTTTTTACCAATAGATTCGAGGTATGAGAAATTTTAAGTCGGTATAAAATATGACTTCGTTTATAATATCAATACTCCCTTTTTTAATTACAAAAAATATGTACGTATTAGCGTAGGTATAAAAGTTTTAAGGATATAAAACAAAAATGTACTCAAATAAATAATAATCTTATATATATGAAAGGACAAAGCATACCAAATTTGGTCAAATTCTGACATTGTGGAGGGATTGTAAAATTATCTTTAGTACAAATAAACAGCTGATATCATTGATAACTTTGAATAGTATACCATTCCTCGATAAGGTACTTAAATACTAGTCGAAAAGCATAATGGGCTATAAAAACTGATGCATCCAGGAGAAACGTCACTGCAATTAACATGCTATTTCACAATAGAAAGAACAAAAGAATACGTATAAGATAACATGATTCTTGTTTTGTCATTTCTAAATTAAGATTATTTTATTGCCAATTTCTTTTTTGCCGTTTATATAATTTAGAGATAAAAAAATCCATTTTTTTAAGAAGTTAAAATAATAATAAGGATATTTTTGAAATTTTATCGTCAATAAGATAATTTAAAGAGGAATAATGGATCAATTTTTTTTTTATGATCTATTTTAATTTTTATTCTCTCTTTCTCTCTCTCTATTTGGTATTCCCGTTGATAATATAGATAAATATTTCTCTGAAGATAAATAATTTTTTGTTATGACCATAACAAATTATAAGGCAAATTTATTAAGTTAGTCATCATTATGATCATGTAGCCTTTTTAAAAATGTTTGTTTTGATTCACTACTCATTATGGATGCCTTTTTCGTTTTATTTCCCGAGAGGTCCAGCCTACACAGATTCGTTATTTCAAAAAGATTGATTTATATCATTGGGAGAGAAACAGAAGCTCATTATTTTTCCGAATTGGGAAGGTGGACTTCAGCCCGAAACTAAAAAATATATCTAAAATATAGTAAAAAAAAAAACGAATGCAAATTTCGAAAACTATAGTTTGAAAAATTCCAAAAATCATTGATTTTATACTGTTCCTTCATAGAGATCGAATAAACATATCAATGAAATATGAGTAGTTTCTTTAAAATGCTTATGAAAGTCAGCTATTATTGACATTTAAAGAACCCTCGCACTTTTTGATTGGCTAGTCAACTTCCATATCATATTCAAATTATTAAGGTCATTCTACGGTTTATTAAGGTGAAAAATAAGAGCTTATAACTGTTTTAAGTAGTTTTAATTAAAGGATTTCAAAGAAATATTCAAGAATTATTAAGAAGTAATAGAAAGGTAGAGTATTCGTGGAAAAACTTTCGTTTGTATTATTGGGATTTTGTAAAAAAATATTTATGTTTTTATATTATGTAGCATACATCTCGGGACCGTATAGGTTGTTTACATCATTCTCAATAGATCATTCTCAGTAGTCTCAGACTTAAAACTGAATAATTTTTCTTGTTAAAATTAGAGATGGGCAAATATATTTACAATACTACTAGTATGGAGTATCGAGTATTTCACTCAGGTACTCACAATTTTTGAGCACTGGAGAATTTAATAACTACCTCAGGTAATTTAAAGAAAATTAAGTAGGTTTGAATCTGAGTACAACTAAAAAGTTTTAAATTTGATTATATTACGCCCTATTAGGAACTCGGTACTCAAGTTTTATTTAGAGGGTAAAATCCAAGCCTGTTTTGACGATTAGGAAATGCCAAAATGCCCTTTTTAATACTAATTCACCAATGATAATTAAAGTAGGAAATATTAATGTTATTTATGTCTTTCTGAACTCAAAAATCTGAGCGAAAAAAGTAAAAACTAAATAAACTTTTTTATGGAGTACCTAATTGTTTATATGAAGTTATACACTTCAAACTCTCAATCTTGTTTTGAAATATATTAAGCACCTTCGATAATTTGCCATAAGAATTCTGATGAAATCACGATAAAAAACCTATCCAAATATTTGTACTTCCGATATCTGTGATTAACAGAGTTATAATTTCATAATCGAATATTATATATAAATTTTCCGACTGATAATACCCTTTTCTTATAGAAACTGAAATTGGAACAGGTTCTTTTGACAATGTTTGACTGTTTGTACCATAAATTCACTAGGGTATACAAAATAATGGCTATTCAGATATAATTATAAATTGTTCATTCTATTACAGTAGGTAAATATCTATAGTAGAATAATTTATATTTTTTTTAGTACAAGTTAATTTTCGGTAAGAACAAGAAAACCACGAAGGACAAGTGGCGGTGATAGGGACCCTGAGCCTAAGTTAATATACTACATTATTTTCATTTACCGGATTGTGTTCTGTTTTTCTTTTTAATGAGCCCTTTATTTTGTAATCTCGTCATATTTCATTTACAATGAATATTGTTTTCAGTGGCGGAATTCGGGTATTAGGAATTTGGCTCCCCGGGCAATCATGATAAACCATCTTTTCCAATTTAAAATAAATTTAGTACTGAACACTTTAGACATTCCACTACAATTGGAATCACCACCAACTTGCTTCACTCCGAAAGTTGTAGAACAAATTATACAATTACATAAAAAGAAAGCTCCTGGCAATGATCTGACAAATGCTCAAAAGCTCCCGAAAATGAATAGAAAAGCTCTAGTTTACCTAACGTATACTTACAACGCAATACTCAAAACGACCGAATCTCATGTACAATGAAAATACTCATATAATACAATGCTCCAAAAACCAAACAAGGACAAATAAATCCCCTCTTCCTTGGCTGTCTCAAGAGTTTTCCTCTCCTGAGCAGCCCCCACCAGTTCCTGATTCTATGGATTCTGGCATCAGCACTTATTCCATTTTCCATCTCAGTTTCGGTCTGTCCACATTTCTTTTTCCAACCGGCTCCATGCTCAGCAGCTTCTTTGGGATTGAAGTCTCGTCCATCCGTACAACTTGGCCCTTGCTATCTGGATAAATTTCACCACATCCGGCTCCTTGCATAAGTTAGGTAGATCTTGGTTGCGTCTAATTCTCCAT